CGGAGTCGGGATGTCAAGTGCATCCGGGTCTCCCTCAGGGGTAAGCAGTACGGACACGAGATGAGGTGAAGCAGCAGCCAGACACTGGAACTCCTCCTGCCTGTCCTCAAAGACGTCCGTGCATAGGGCACACTCACCCCCGACGGACGGAGGACAGACAGAATCAGACTCACCGACAAGACTAGCAGCGTAGTCTAGACGACAGCGAGCAGCAAAGTCGACGAGCTCAGCAACTAGGGAAGACGCAGCAGTGGACTTAAAGGAAGGGTCAGCGATGACAGTAGCAAGGAGACGCGTGACAGTAGGACTAGCAGCACGAAGAGAGTCCGACTCCGGGTCGGGAAGGTCTGGAAGAGAAGACTCAGGAGGAGAAGGCAAAGGGGCACGCAAAGGAGCAGTGGATGGACGTAGAGACATCCGGTGCGTGCCAGGGACAGGAGGAGGACGCTGACGCGAACCGCGACCACTAGTGCGAGCAGTAAGGACAGGCGACGCAGGGCGAGATGCAGGCTCGCGACGCTCAGCGAGACCTCTAGTAGGACCAGTGTAGGGAGACGGAGCAGGCAGTGGGGAGGCCGGCTGTAACTGTAACTGCGACGGGACATGCTGTGGACACTCTAAGGGAGGAGGAGGATGAGTAGAAGACGGGAGACCAAGAACCTGCTAAAGGAGCGGAGCGAAGTAAGGCCGAGGCCGCGCGGCGACTCCAGACACAGCAGGGACAGCACAAGTAACCCCAGCGGCAGCACCAGCACCAGCAGCACCTCCAGCTCCAGGACCTCCAGCAGCACCAGTAGCACCCCCAGCAGGACCGCCTCCAGGACCGACAGCAGTAGCCTCCGCGCCAACACCCGCAGCAGCTTCAACTCCAGAAGTACCCGCAGGCCCAGCAGCTCCAGTACTCCCAGTACGAGCACCTCCGGGACCCGCGACACCAGCTCCCTCAGCAGCTCCAGAACCTCCAGCACCCGCAGCACCTCCAGCTCCAGCAGCTCGCCTCCAGCGCCGGGCAAACCACTCACGTAGCTCGTGTGGAGAGAGTGGCTCCCAGCGAGATGAAGCACCCAGAGAACCGCCAAGCACAGCACCAGCAGACCCAGCGTCTTCAGGCTCCGCACCCCCAGGCTCTCTTCCAAGCGTAGCACCCCCAAGCTCAGCACCCCCAGGCTCAACACCCCCAGGCGTAGCACCCCCAGGCTCAGCACCCCGAGACTCATCACCCCCAGGCTCAGCACCCCCAATCGTAGTACCCTCAGGCTCAGTACCCCCAGGCGTAGCACCCACACGCTCAGCACCCCCAGAGTCAGCACCCCCAGGCTCAGCACCTTCAGCAGCACCAGAGTCACCAGCGACCACTACAGGCTCAACAGCGTCTACCTGGGACACACCTGAAGGGGCAGGACCCTGAGGGGGGGGGGGTCTACCGGGGGGGGACCTGGCACAAGGAAGAGCGGTGGCGGGGGTAGGCACGGAGTGCGGTAGGGGAAGAGACAGTAGTAGGGGACCGACTTGTCGAACATGACGTCCTAGGAGGACAGAACACGGCGAGAGGTGGGGTGGTAGAACTGCCAACCTGGCGCGTCAGGGGGGAAACCCAGGAAGACGCAGGGAGTAGCACGAGGGGATAGCTTGTCCGCAGACAAGTCGCGGACAAACGCCTGAGATCCCCAGATACGGAATGCAGACGCATCACCAACCTTCCCCGTCCACAGCAAAGCTGGGGAGGTCTTCGGCATGGAGACCCTGTGCTGAAGGTTGATCTGATGCGCCGCGTACCGGACTGCAAACGGCCACAGAAAATGGGGGGCAGCCGCATGCATCATGGACGTACGGGCGACGTCCATGACCATGCCAATGCAGCGCTCAGCAATCCCATTTTGCTGTGGAGAGTCCGGAAGCGTGAAGGTCTGGCGGATGCCTCGTGCACTACAGTAGGCTCGCAGAAGGCCAGAGGAGAACTCTCCGCCTCTGTCAGAGTGCACACGCAGAACAAGTAAGTCTGAGCCAAAGCTCCGCCTGAGCCGGAGACGAGCTGCGCGGATCCAGTCGATCAACACCTCAGTGACATCACCCTTGCTGCGCAAGGGGAAGACTGTGGTGTAACGCGAGTAGTCGTCAACCACCAGCAGGAAGTAGCGCTCGTGACCCTGTCCACGGACGCGGGCCGGGCCCCACACGTCCATGTGAAGCGTCTGCAGCGGGGCCTCTGTTCGAGGAAACTGAGAGGAGTGAGGGGCAGCCCGCTGCCGCCCCTCTACACAGGGGACGCAGGTAGGGCCAGGCCCCGGAGGAAGGGGAGGGAGGTACCGGGGAAGACCAGAGACAAGGACACTGGAAGCCATGCTTCGGAGACGAAGCAGGGAGGGGTGACCAAGGCGGTGGTGCCAGAGGAGAGTCTCGCGAGACAGGAGACGACACGAACAGGGGGCAGACTCAAGACCAGACCTGGACGCTGCAGCAAACACCTGACCCGACGCAGCTACCTGACCAGACGCAGTGGTCAGTGTGTACAGGCTCGACCCCGGACGACGTGTAAACGTGGCCAGGTGTCGGCCTGTCCTAGCGTCCGTGCAGTGGGTCACCCGCTGACTCGCAGGAGTGAACTGGTGAACCCCCCCATCCTGTAGGTCAGCACCACTCACCAGGTTCGTAGAGAACGAGGGGAGGTAAAGACCAGACAGGGTGCCAGAGGGGGCCGCCGGACACGGGAGGACAGTGGAGAAGTGAGCAAGGACAGGACCTCCAGAGGGGTCTGCCGGGGAGACTACAACTGGCCGACCAAGCGGCGTGAGTGTGGTGCGGTCTCGAAAGAAGGAGCGAGAAGCCCCCGAGTCTAGTCTGAAGGTGTGGGAGGCCGAAGCCGACGCTGTACCTGAGAGCGCAGACTCACCAGTACCAGAGGAAGCAGACGCACTAGCACCTAGAGCAGCAGCCTCGCTAGCACCAAGAGCAGCAGCCTCACCAGCACCTAGAGCAGCAATCGTAATGCCCGGGTCAGGCGGGAAACACCGGTAACAGTCACCCTCCTCACTAATAGACACAGTGTACATAGCAGCAAGAATAGCATCAAAGTCAAGGTCAAAGATAGCTACCCCTGCCCTAGACAGCTCGCCCCAACGAGGGATCTTAGTGGCCTCAGGGAACTGGTGACGCCAAGCGTCCGTCAGGCGGCCAAAGCAGCGCTGGGTGGGGTGCGCACCCCCATACTGCTCACCCGCACGGTCGCCGGTGCGCAGGACATAGCTGCACGGACCAGTACCCCCACCCTGCTGGCACGCTGTGTACCACTCACCGAGCTGCTGAGGGGACAGGGTCTCCCGAGTGCGATGCTGCTGCTGGCGCTGACCACCACCGGAGCCACTCCTCAGCAAAGAGCCACGACCTCCTCCTCCTCCTCCTCCGCCACCGCCTCCTCCACCTCCGCCACCTCAACTCCAACTGCCACCGCCGCCAACACCTCCATGTGAAAGTTTAGAAGGAAGAAGAGAGGAGAGAGAGGGGGCTGCACTAGCAAGAATGGGGATACAAATAGGAAACCCTAGAAGGGTTGTACTCGCTATAGAGCACCCCACTACAGGCTAGAGCATAAGATAACATTCTGACACACCCCCATAGCCAAAGTGGGGTGTAATCAGCAGAGCAAGCAAAGCAATACAAGCTCAGGGTGGATCACAATGTCACCACACATTCTGAGCACAAGTTCAAGAAGCAATAGTTTAAAGTTAACAATTATGAGCAAAGCTAGTGGTAGTCACAACGGGCAAGTGAGGAGGAGGAGAGAGAGTGAGAGGAGAGGAGATAGGAGGCGACGGATGAAGCTGCAGACACACGGGCAACAGGAGGCACACTGGCACAGCGGCTACCGGAACAACGCTCCCGAATACTGGAATAACTGGCCCCGCGGCTAAAGTAGCGGCAGACGAGCAACGGACCCACGGGCAGCTGGCACAGCTGGCTACGATTGGGCTACCGGACGAAGTCCCCGGAATGCAGGTGCTGCTTGCGATACAACGGCAACCTCCATTCAGCTTCCCAAACTATCCCACTCCCCCCTGGCACACACCCGCTGCTACCCGCTAGCTCCACTCCCACTCACCCCCCTAAAACCCTAAACCCCAGTCTCCCACTCATCCACCCCCCTCAGCGACAGCTGCAGCAGTGGGAGACAAAGGAGGAGGAGGAGAAGGGCTCGGCGCGCACAACGGACACCCCCACAACCTCCACCCCCACACTCCTCACCCCCAAACCCTAAAACGGGTGGGATAGGGGCAGGAGCGCGGGGGACGGAGAGGGGGGGGGAAGGCGCGCGCCTCTAGGGCGCCAGAACGGACTGGTGGGGCGAGGGAAGGGGCGTGGCGCGCGCTGCTCCCCGGGGCGCCGCGACAAACGGGCGGGGGGGACGCGCGCGCGGCTCCTCAGGGCGCCGCGACGGCCTGGCGGGGCGCGCGCGGCCTCCCGAGGGCACCGCGACAAGCTGACGGGGCGCGCGCGGCCTCCATAGGATGTCGCGACGACCACGCAGGGCGCCCGCTGGCTCCCCAGTGCGTCGCGAGCGACGGGCGGGGCGCTCGCGGGCTCCCGAGGGCGTCGCGACGGACAGACGGGGGGCTCGCAAGCTCCCCAGCGCGCCGCGACGGGCAGGGTGGGGGGCCGCACGTGCTTCCCAGGGCTCCGCGACGGACGGGCGGGGCGCGCGCTGGCTCCCCCACAGCAGTAAACCGCCGCGCGCCTCGGGGCGCACGGCGGGCAGAAAACCGCCGCGCGCCCCGAGCGCGCGGCGGGATGAAAAAAAAGAGGCCGCGCACCACGGGGCGCGCGACACAGCGTAGGGCAACGGAAGCAGTAGGAGGGCCCACAGGCCAGGAGCGTTTCGCTCTTATTCCATGTGGAAGTTTAGAAGGAAGAAGAGAGGAGAGAGAGGGGGCTGCACTAGCAAGAATGGGGATACAAATAGGAAACCCTAGAAGGGTTGTACTCGCTATAGAGCACCCCACTACATGCTAAAGCATAAGATAACATTCTGACACTCCACCCCCGCCACCACTCCCACCACCACCCCCACCCCCTCCACTGCCTCCACTGCCGCCTCCACCGCCCCCGCTAGCTCCTCCAGCGCCCCTGCCCCCCTTGCCCTTGCCAGAGCGACGCTTCCCACTAGGGGTAGACGCCGCACCGACCGACTCCAGACCAAGGAGGTCGGCCGCAGCAGCAGAGGCAACAGAGGGCAAAAGAGGGGAGGGGGAACACCCCTCAAAGATGGGGGTGCGCGGGTCACCACGAGCGGCCCCTACAGCGACTATGCTCTTCTCCGCTGCTAGGAGGGCCTTCTCGAGGAGGTCAACAGTGAGAGTGGTGGGACAGACTGAGAGGAAGTGGTCCCTGACTACGCGAAGGGAGTCAGGGAGGCGAGTGACTATGTAGTAGAGAGTGATGTACATGGGGGGGGGTTCTTGGCGCACAACTCAGCAGGAAGCGCAGCGCGGTAGCGAGAGTCACTAGTGCGGAGGTGCGTAATGAGGTCAGCGACTGTGGGAAAGGCAGCAAGGTCAGGGAAGAGGTACAGTAGCATGAGGCGGCTCAGTGCAGCAGTGGCAGGGGAGGAGTAGCGTGCAACTACAGCGTCGTACAAGGTCTGAGCACTCTTGTACTGGCTAAAGTGCGCACGCTCAGAGGTAGGCAGGTGGCGACGCACAGCAAGACGTGTAGCAGCATCGCGTGTGGCCCACTGTTAGCGCACAGTGGCGTCAGCACCAGCAGCAGGGGCAGGAGAGGCACCAGAGGTGAGGTCAAAGAGAGAGAGTCCGTCTGCCCTATCGCACTGTAAGAAAAGCTGCAGGTCATCTATCCAGACGTCAAAGTCAATGGCCCTGCCCTCAGCGTCAAAAGCGAGGACACTAGGGGTAGCCATGACAGAAGTAGACTAGCAGCGCAAACAGTAGGGTAAGGGCAGTGCGGAGAGAGAGGCGCTGCTCTTACCGGAGAGGGCGGCTCGAGCGACTCGACGGTGCGGGCGGCTCGGCTGCTGGGCGGCTCGGCTGCTGGGCGGCTCGGTTGCTGGGCGGCTCGGCTGCTGGGCGGCTCGCCTGCTGGGCGGCTCGCCTGCTGGTCGGCTCGGTTGCTGGGCGGCTCGGCTGCTGGGCGGCTCGGCTGCTGGGCGGCTCGGCTGCTGGGCGGCTGGGCTGCTGGGCGGCTCGGCTGCAGGGTGGTGCGGCGGTCGGCTGCTCGGCTGGGTATGGTGGCTGGGGCAGCTCGGGTGGCGGGCGGCACTACAGCAGGCAACGTGGCCGCAGGTAAGGGCGGCGGGGCCGCAGGTAAGGTGGCGGGGCCACAGCGAAGGGCGGCGGGGCCGCAGGTAAGATGGCGGGGCTGCAGGTAAGGGCGGCGGGGCCGCAGCAGCAGACGACGGGGCCGCAGGTAAGGGCGGCGGGGCCGCAGGTAAGAAGGGCGGGGCCGCAGGTAAGGTGGCGGGGCCGCAGCAGCAGGCGACGGGGCCGCAGGTAAGGGCGGCGGGGCCGCAGGTAAGGGCGGCAGGGCCGCATCGAAGGGCGGCGGGGCCGCAGGTAAGGTGGCGGGGCCCCAGCGAAGGGCGGCAGGGCCGCAAGTAAGGGCGGCGGGGCCGTAGGTAAGGTGGCGGGGCCGCAGCGAAGGGCGGCGGGGCCGCAGGTAAGGGCGGCGGGGCCGCAGGTAAGGTGGCGACATCGCAACACATTTTGTAGGTAAGTGGTAACATCGTGCGTTACCTTAACGAGCACCTCGAGGTTTGTCGTGTGTATGTTACTTCAAGGCGACTTGAAATTTAGTTAGAGGTAACAAAAGTGGCCCCAAATTTTTGAGACATAGCTCACAGCATGCAATGCACTGCTGCTGACTGCTGCCGCCACCACATGCCAGACTCTCCTAGTAGGCTAGTAACTTTCTCCCCCACCCCTCCGATTTGACGTTTCGAGCGTCTTGAACAAAAATCAATTGTGATTGACGATAATTTTGCAAACCTCGAAACGCTGGTTTGTTGGGCAGGAAAGAAAAACACCAGGGTAGGGTTGTGTGGGATAGTGATATCGGAACACAGAGTTGCGATTTCCAATTTGCGTGGAGGTTGGCAGTCAATATGTATTTTTTTGTTTAAATAAACATTGATTCATTTCTTGATTTTTTTTTCCATATTCATACATTCAGCTTTATGCATTTTCACGCTTGACGCTTGGCGCTTTGAGCATCAGCTCTACCCCTGCACGCAGCAGCACGTAAAGCGGCGAAACTTGTTGGCAGTAGCAACACTAGGATTACTTGCCCCATGCGTGACCCCTGCATGTGTCCCCCATGTGCAACCCCATGCGCCCCCCCATGCGCCCCCCCATGTGCCCCCCCATGCCCGGCTTCCCTAATGCATTCCCGTGGCGTGCATCAGGAGGGGGCTGGCCAGTGTGGTGTGGTGGGGGGGAAGGTACAAAAGGACACAAACCACTGTTGCAGGGGCTGTTGCGGGGGACATGCATTTCCATGGGCTGCGCTGCGGCTGCACACCTGCTTGCTGCATGCATCCCCTGTGCCACCATGGCCCTGTGCCACCATTGCCCTGTGTGTTACAGGTTGGGATTTTCAATGCACGCAGGCATGGGAATACCCGAACAGTTGGAATTGTCAGTAGATCTGCACTGTGGATGCCCGATTGATCCTGGAGAGGGCTACAGGCGCGTTCGCCTGGGGGGTTATGGGCGCACTGACCCGCTACTGAAACAAGCCCTTTTATCCCAATGGTCTAGTGGTTGGGATTCTGACATGGTATCAGAGCGGTCTCGGGTTCGAATCCCGGTGTATGCACATGTAGGCCGGTGCCGTTGTGCTTAGTCCTGGCATAAATATTACTTTTGAGGATTTTGTTCTATGATCCTAGCATCATTTCTTTATTCTTGGAATCATTCTTCCTATCATCTCTCCTATTTACTCTCTCATCTACATCTCTGAATCGCGACATCAATCTCCTAGCTCTCTCCTTCCGCCGCGACGACCCTTACTCTCTTTCTTAGCTACGGCGCCACTCCTCACTCGCAAGGCCGGCCAGGCCAGCCGCGCCGTGCGTCGCTGCGCCATAGCTCCTGTTTCACTGTGCCACTATCGTCCCATCTATCAACCCTCTCCTTGCGGAGATAACTGCTACAACGGGAGCTAGGCTACGAGCTAGGCACGTGTGATCGTGTGATCTCTGTGTTCCTTAGTCGTTTGCTTGTGTGTTCTCTACTTGCATATTCACGGGGAGATTTTGCAAGAGTTTCACTAGCAAAGATTGACAACAATGGTAGCGACAACATTGGCATCACAGACTACATCAGAGCTAGCTAGGCTGCTGGTCGACCTCCAGCGCAGCATGGTCGACCGCGCTCCAACGCAGCAGCGCTCGCACCGCTCCAGCGTTGCAGAGTAGCGGTTCGCCAACGTTGCAAGTCCACGGTGTGCCAACGCTGCAGCAAGTCGGCTGCACAGCGTTGCACCCCCAGGACAACGGTGCACCTGCTTCGCAGATGCGTGCAGCTGGTTGGTGCGTCGCTCCTCATCACGTGCACAGCGCAGATGCCTTGCAGACTCCACGCCAGCAACCGCGCCCACCAGCCACGTCGACCTCGGGATACCACCCCCGAGGTCGGCCTTGCAGACTCCACCCCGGCGACATTCGCGCACGTCGCCCGGGTATCCTGGTCGACCGGGCAACTACGCCCGATCAACCAGCACAGTCCGTAGCCGGCCACCAATGCCCGGCGTCCCCAGTCCGGCGTCCAGGCGCCCAGGATGCCGTCTGAATCCCCAGGTCGGCGTCCAGATGCCCAGGACGCTGTGCAGACCTCCAGAGTAGCGTCCAACCTCCCAGGACGCTGATCAGACGCCCAGGTCGGCGTCCGGGCCCCCCAGGACGCCCAGGTTGGCGTCTGGGCCCCCAAGACGCCCAGGGCGGCGTCCCAGGTTTCTAGGACGCCGTGCAGACGCCTAGGTCGGCGTATGGCCTTCCAGGACGCCGTGCAGGCGCCCACGACGCCGACCAGGCGCCCGGGTAGTCGTGCCGACGCCCAGGTCGGCATCCAACTTCCCAGGACGGCGTCCTCCTGCTCGGCGCCCTCCAGCCAGGCGCCCTTCAGCTCGGCGCCCTTGCAGTGGCCCCCGTGCCCACTGCTGCAGGTCGGCTGCAACCCCCGCACATCCAACCACGAGGTCGGCTCCGCCCAAGCGAGGACGGGGCCAGACAACACTCCCGTTGACACTCCCCTGCCGCGTTCATGCTTGGGCCCCCAGCCCACATGGCAGTACTGCTCGGAGAAAAGCTCAGCGGCGTGCACACAACACACAGCACGCTGGTCACCGCACCAGCCATGCAAGAGGGCATGGCACCTACTGCTGCACGTCATCGTCGCCGTCGCCCACATCGGCCAAGCACACCTGGCCTATTGCAACGAAGCACCGGTTGAAGGCCGGATAGTGCAGCGCCTTCGTTAGGAAGTCGGCCGGCTGCTCAGCGGTCGGGATGTACTGCAGCGAGAACTTCCCGCGCTTCATCATGTGCTGCAGCTAGGCCTGTCGCCGCTCCATGTGCTTGAGGTTGCCCATCAACCCCATGCCCTTGGCGAGTGTGATGGCCGACTTGTTGTCCACTCGCAGGACAGTCGGCTTCCCGGCGTCCAGCTGCCGGAATTCTGCAAGGAGGAAACGAAGTCGGCGTCCCTCCTTCCCGACTTCGGTGGTCGCCACGTACTCCGACTCGGTCGACGACAACGTCGCGCACTTGATGCGCTGGCTCGACCAGGAGACTGTGGCCCCTCCGTAGATGAACACGTAGCCGCCCGTGCTCGTCCTGTTCTGCTTGTCACCGGCGTCGTCGGCGTCCACATAGCCGACCAGCTCCAGCGACTCAGGTCCACCGCCGAACTCCAGGGTGGTGTCACGCGTGTTGGTAAGGTAGGCGAGGCAACGGTCGACCTCGCGCCAGTGCCGGTCGCTCCTCACCGTGAGGCCGCTCCCCAGCTTGTGTCAGAACATATCTATAGCTTATACTGCTGTGTAGGCTGTAGTGGGGTATCCCATAGGGGGTACAACCCAGTTAGGGTTTCATATTTGTACTGCTTTCATTCATAGTTCATTCATTCCTGCTTACTCATTTCACATGGTATAGAGCGGGTTCCCTGTGGAACTCTGCCTAGGGCCCACCGAAGCGCGCCCCGAGGCGCGCTCAACTTTTTTTTCCGCTATCGAGCGACCCTCCGTGTCGCCTCCCTCCCACACGCGGCCCAGCCGCCCGCTAAGTCGCGGCCCCAGCCGCCCGCTACGATCGCGGCCCCAGCCGCCTGCTCGACACGGCCCCCAGCCGCCTACTCGACGCGGCCCTGCCGCCCGCTACGCCGCGGCTGCCGCCTGCTACGACCGCGGCCCCGGCCGCCTGCTACGACCGCGGCCCCAGCCGCCTGTTCGACCGCGGCCCCGCCGCCCGCTCCTGTCGCGGCCCCCAGCCGCCTGCTCGACGCAGCCCCCGGCCGCCTGCTCGACGCGGCCCTGCCGCCCGCTACACCGCGGCCGCCGCCCACTACGATCGCGGCCCCGGCCGCCTGCTACGACCGCGGCCCCAGCCGCCAGTTCGACCGCGGCCCCGCCGCCCGCTCCTGTCGCGGCCCCGGCTGCCTGCTCGCACGCCCTCGCCGCCCGCTACTACCGCGGCCCCGGCCGCCTGCTCGACCGCGGCCCCCCCCCCCCCCCCCCCCCTACTACCGGGAGCCGAGCCGCCCTGCAGCCGAGCCGCCCGGGAGCCGAGCCGCCCTGCACCCGAGCCGCCCTGTCGCCGAGCCGCCCAGGAGCCGAGCCGCCCTGCCCCCGAGCTGCCCTACCGCCGAGCCGCCCGGGAGCCGAGCCGCCCTGCGCCCGAGCCGCCCAGCACCCGAGCCGCCAGGTCGCTGAGCCGCCTTTCTGCATACCTACTCGACCTGCCCTGCCTAGTGAGCACAGTCCCACTGCCACTGCGAGCTCTTTCCCTACTGCTTGCACTGCGTCGCTGTCGTCGCCATGGCTACCCCTAGTGTCCTAGCTTTTGACGCTGAGGGTCGCGCCATTGATTTTGAGGTCTGGTTAGACGACCTGCAGCTGTTCTTACAGTGCGACAGGGCTGACGACCTTTCTCTCTTTGACCTCACCTCTGGCGCCTCTCCTGCTCCTGCTGCTGATGCTGATCCCGCTGTCCGCTCTAAGTGGGCCACCCGCGATGCTGCTGCACGTCTTGCTGTGCGTCGCCACCTCCCTACCTCTGAGCGTGCGCACTTTAGTCAGTACAAGAGTGCTCAGACCTTGTACGACGCTGTAGTTGCGCGCTACTCCTCCCCTGCCACTGCTGCACTGAGCCGTCTCATGCTTCCCTACCTCTTTCCTGACCTCTCTGCCTTTCCCACTGTCGCTGACCTCATTACGCACCTCCGCACTAGTGACACTCGCTACCGCGCCGCCCTTCCTGCTGAGTTCTGCGCTAAGAACCCCCCCCCCATGTACATCGCTCTCTACTACGTAGTCGCACGCCTCCCTGACTCCCTTCGCGTCGTCAGGGACCACTTTCTCGCAGTCTGTCCCACCACTCTCACCG